GGTAGCCAACCCGGGAAGAGCCAGCAGCAAACCCGGGGAGGGCCGAGCAGACGAAAGAACAGCGCAGGGTCCTGTGTCGTTCCTCCATGAAGATGGGGAGCGACATAATGGTGCCGTGACTCGGATATGAAGCCTAGGCAGGTTTAGTGTCGTTCCTCCATGAAGAGGGGGAGCGACAGGGGACCAGTGCCCAGTTAACAGCTGGACTTCCAGGACTAGTGCCTGCAGGCCTCAGGACAGAAGTGGAAGTGAATGAATGAATGAATGAATGAGAGCTCTGGGTAGGGGGTGGGCGGGGGGGGGGGGCACCAGGGACGTCTCAGGAGCTCCTGGCTGGGAGTGCACCTGCCTCTGGCCCCAGCAAGGACAAGCCCTGTTGGCACCAGGGTGGGACAGGAGAAGGCAGGTTCCTCTCTGGCCGGTGTAAGGGGGCAAGGCGGGCGACTGGCTGCTCTCTGCTTCCTTCTGGCTCTGGCCACCTCCTGCCGCTCCATGATGCTCCGCTTGTGAGATTCTCAACGTGCTTTTGTTTCTTTTTCCTTTGACCAGAGACGACCTGGGAACGTCCCAGCAGTGTTCCTGGGATTCCAGCCAGCCCTGGCCCGCACAGGAGCTCCCTGCCTCCAACAGGTACCGTCCACTCATGCAGCCCCGGCAGCTGGGAGGGACCACACACCCACTCCCGTGGTCTCAGAGCCTGACCCCTGGCTTGGGGGTCTTGCAGATCAAAACTGGGGAGGGGTCAGGCCTGGGAGGTCCCAGCAGGTTGGTATCTCCTTGGCAGTGCCAGCAGCAGCTCTGGGGGGCCTCTTGCTCTCACACAATCACAAGCTCAGGCGGGGGAGGGGAGGTGGTTGGGTGCAGTGAGGCGTTGGAGCTCTTCCCTTGGGGGTGGGGACAGAGCTGTTCCCCATGGCCGCCATCCAGGGCTGGGAGGCAGATGTTACAGGGCAGCTTGGAAACACAATGTCTGTGAGGATGTGAGCTCTCCGTCAGCAGAGGCAATCAAGCGTAGGTGGTGGAGGTGGACAGTCCTGTTAACAGGTGGAAAGTTTATCCAGAGGCCTCTTGGGGGACTAACATCATAGTAGACAACTTATGGGATCCACCAGCAGGGAGAACCGCTTCTGACTCCTTGTGGCTTAGAATTTGGAAAGTGTCACCTCCTCCAAGAAGCCTTCTCTGATTATTCACCATCACTCTTCATTCCGGATCTCAGGCACGTGCTGTTTTATTGTCCCTGTCCGTTGTCACTCTGCCGTGACACACCGTAAGTTCTCTGAGGGTGAAGACCTTGTTTCTCACCTCCTCTTGTGGAATCCTCGGTCCCTAACCAGTTCCTTGCTTCCTCGTTGAGTGAATTCATGGATGTCTCTGCCGGCACGTGGAGGGCATAAAGCGCCTTCGCTGGTTGTTAACCCGAGCAGTTAAACGCCTAAGCAGAGGGCTGCTGGGAACTTCATTACCATTAACAGCTTGCGAATGTGGCAGGTGCAGCTGGGCAGAGATGGGGAGGCCAGCAGGAGAGGAGGGGCAGAAGCTGCGGTGCGGGTGACAGTGACGTCCCCAGCACCTCTGCAGGGGGAGGTGAGAGCTTCTGTAACGGTGGTGGAATGAGAAGCAGACAGAGGTCTCAAAGGTTTGCTAAAGCGGCAGAGGCAGCGAAAGGGAGAACGGAAGCCAACGAGAGAGGAGTCGGGAACCCGGCCCGGGGAGCGTGGAGGCAGCAGGGCGCCGTGTGAGCCGGGCAGGTTCTCCCACCGTTGTTGCCTTCGGAAATAAAAGCATCCACGTGCACGATTTGGGGGGTGGGAAAGTGTTACCGGCGGAAGAACTTAAAACTGGAGGAGGTGATGTGAGGGACTGGTGTTTCCTGTTGAACGTCCTTCTAGGTTGCTGAAAATGCTTCATTGCTGTCACACACACACACACACATGCACACACACACACACACACGCCTTCAACAGTGCTTTCATTTAAAAAGGAACTCGTGTGAGGAGGGAGATGGGGCTGCACCTGCTATGTTCTCAAAGCCACTGATGTGGACATGCCCAGCCTCCCCCTGCTGCCGGGTTAACTGCTCAAGTGGAAGACTCAGAGGTGTGACGTATGCCCCCTGTGGTGGTGGAGACATTTCTGCGGGCAGTGAAGCGAAGCTGTGGTTAAGGGGCTGATTCGGGAGCCGGGGGCCAGTCCCCAGAAGCGGCCCCTTCCGCCTTCCAAGCTGCCAGTGACAGCAGGCAGATGTGAGCACGCCGCTTTGTCTTCCCTTCTTGTTCGCAGGGTCTCTTTTTCTCACTAGCGTGAATGATGTGAGGTTGTGGCCTGATTCCTGGCTGGCGCCCTGCCACCCGGCCACTGACACTGCAGGGAGAACCCCACGGGGTCTTCAGGCCGGAGCCGTCCCTGGAGTGGGATGGGAGGCGACGCAGGCACGGGCAGGCTGGGGCGTGGTGGTGCGGCAGGCATGTGGCTGCTCGCCCCCTCGGAACCCTGGGGTTGCCTCTTCCAAGCCGGCTTTCTTGGTACCTCTGCAGTAGCCTGCTGTCCCCTCTAGGACAGGTTTGTAAGATTACAGCTGGCAAAATGGGGGCCTTGGCTCAGTGCTTCTCTCAGCCAGGCCTCCAGGGGGAGCCTGGAGGCAGGCACTTGGCAGAACAATTAGGATACTGCGTGGGACCCCCACATCCCAGAGACTGGGTTTGAGTCTCTCCTCTGCTTCCCACCCGGCTTCCTGCTTACGCAGACCCAGGGAGGCAACAGATGATAACTCCAGTGGTGGGTGGTCCCTTCCCACCCACATGAGAGACCCAGAGTGAATTTCTGGCTCCTGGCTTTGGCCTGGCCCAACTCTAGCTGTTGTGGCCATTTGGGGAGTGAACCAGCAGGTGGAAGATCTCTTTCTCTCCCTTGTTTCTCTCTGCCTTTCAAATAAATCAGTGTTTAAATTATTTATATATTTATTTATTTGAAAGGCAAAGTGATAGAAAAAGAGAGAGATACAGAGAGAGAGAGAGAGAAATCTTCTGTCTGCTGATTCATCCCCCAAATGGAAATGACTGCAACAGCCAGGGCTGGGCCAGGCCAGAGCCAGGAGCCAGGAGCTTCTTCCAGGTCTCCCATGTGGGTGCAGGGGCCCAAGCACTTGGGTCATCTTCCATTGCTTTCCCAGGCCACAGCAGAGAGCTGGATCAGAAGTGGAGCAGCCAGGACGCCAACTGGTGCTCCAGTATGACATACTGGCAGCACAAGTGGTGGTTTAACCTGCTGTGCCACAATGCCGACCTCTAAATAAATGTTTTTAAATTCAGAGAAGATAGTCTGAGGACCAGAGCAAGATCCCTGAGGCCCCGCCCATCCCTGGTGATTGACACATGACCCCCTGGGGTGAAGACCTTGAGCCTGGTCTGCCTACTGGGCTGAAAGGCAGGTGACCCACCACTGAGGGTGGCGCAGGATCTGGGTTACCTGGACATTTTGTTCCCAATTCCGGAGCTGAGCACAGTGACCAATGACCGAACCGAGAGCCTCGGTGACTGCTTTCCTAGGCTCTCTTCTCATTTCGCAAGCAGCTTCCAGGAGCTTGGGAGAGAAAGAGACGGAAGCCCCTGTCCCCGCTGAAGCTCCCCACCCCCACCACCCCTTTGCATCTCTTCCTGCCTCCGCAGAGGCAACCGTGGTGGTGTTTCATACCTTCCCCTTCCAAACCTGGCCAGGGGCTGCTTTTGCTTCCGTGGGTGGAACCAAAGGCAAGACAGACACGTGGGTTCCTGTCTGGGGCAGCCTCAGTGCTGGTGGTGGATTTGGCCAGGCAGGCAAGCACAGAGCCTGTGCTAATGCATGGGAGTGGAAGTAAGGCTGTATGACTTGGGAGTCGGGGGAGGCATCCCTAGGAGGTGACATGTAAGGCCAAGATAGAATGACAACAAGAAGCTGGATGTGTGGTCTGGCAGAGACCAGCCAGTGCAAAGGCCCTGTGGCAGGAGCAAGTGTGAGAGCAGAAAGCAGGCTACTGTGTCCTGAGCATGGAGGACAAGGTTGTCCGTGTGAGGTGAGGGGCGGGGAGTGGATGGCGACGGGTGTTAGGACTTCACTCTTGAGTGTGGTACCCAGGCAGGGGTGACCCTGAGAGTCCCCTCACTGAAGCTGCCAGGTTGCAGTTGGCTCCCGGGCTGTCCTTGCTTAGCACAGGTATCCAAGGTACCAGCAAGGTGGGGGGGGGGGGGTGGCGGTGGTACAGGCCGGGGAGGGCAGCGTGGGAAACTCTGCCACACTGCTCAGCCACAGGCATTTGCTGTGGTCACTCCCAAGAAAGCCCATGGGAAAATGGGTCAGGAAGCACATCGCGGGGAACCACAGACGCATCCAGCCAAGCCACCCCTCTGTGGAGAAGCCACAGGCCCGCCTTACTCCTGTACTCTCTCCCCACGGCCTTGGGAAAGGGCCCGGATGGCCACCCAGGGGGCAGTGCTGGCTCCTGCTTCCCACTGCAGAGCTGCTGCCTGCAGAGAGGGATGTAGAAGCACCCCCCCTCCCCAATTTTCTCCTCTTTTATTTTTGGAGATTTTTATTTATTTGAAAGGCAGAGTGACAGGAAAGAGGAATGACAGAGAGACAGATAGGGAGAGAGAGAGAGAGATCTTCTGTCTACTGATCCACTCCCCCAGTGGCCACAATGGCCGGGGCTGGGCCAGGCTAAAGCCAGGAGCCAGAAACTCCATCTGGGTCTCCCACATGGGTGGCAAGGACCCAAGTACTTGGGTCATCTCCTTCTGCTTTCCCAGGTTCATTGGCTGGATCGGAAGTGGAACAGCCAGGACTTGAACCTGGGCTTACATATGGGATGCTGGTGTTGCAGGTGGTGGCTTAACCCCCTACCCTAGAACACCAGCCTCTGGTTCCCTGCTTTGAGTGTGGGGCGCTCCTTTGGGTCAGCCCTGAGCCAGAGACTTTTCCTGAGCTGCTTCCTTTAATTTCTGCAGTGTTGGGGGCTGTATGCATTCAGTCACTTTACCAGAAGTAAAGTTTCACGTAGCCAGACTTCCTGGCTGAAGACCAGGTATGAGAGATCCTGGAAGGATTACAGATCCTCTCTGGGCTGGTTTCACATGCAGTGTGGAAGTATTGCTTAGGAGAGATAGACAGATGGAGATGGAGATGATGGAGATGGGGATGATGGAGATGATGGAGATGAGGATGATGGAGAGACAGGCAAAAGGGATGAAAACGTGAGTGAAAGAAAAGAGGTTCTGGGAGCCCCCTCGTGGACCACTGAGTAGAGTGAATGGCAGCACAGAGCAGGAGACCCAGCAGAACCCGGGGACAGTCACAACACTGCATCCGTACTGTCCCAAGTGGTGGCCGTTCCTTGTGCTGTGGCCGGCATGCCCGGTGAATTTTTTACAACTTAATGACTTCTGTTACTTGGGGGCTAATTCCTGGCTTGCAGAAAGCTTGTCAGGTCCGTGCAGAGAGTTCCTGCTCACCTTGACCCGGCACCGCCCCCCTTACCCTGTTACACAACCACAGTATATTGAAGGGGGGAACAAAGCCCACAAAATGAACACTGCCCATTTGTACAGTCTCCTGAACGTGGGACTTCATTCAGACTTTGGGAGTTTCTCCAGTAC